TGGTGATCTCCTCCTCGGAGTCGCCGCCGCTGACGGTCACGTCGACGCCTTGCAGCGCCTGGATCTTCGTCACCCACTGCATGAACTCGTTCTCGTCTATTAGACCGTTACCTGGAATACACGAAACATAACATTTAGTAACAAATTTAAAAGGGGTCATCCCACGCTCTCAGGTCACTCCAGTTTTGAGGATGCTGATCCCTAAATGAGTCTTTCTTTTATAGCTCTTTAACTATCATGTGAATAGTCTAGTCAAATCTGAATATGTCAGGCTTGTCTTTCTGATGAATGAAGTATAAAAAACGAAAAAAAACTTTTTTGTTAGTTGAACTTTTTTTTGCAATTAGTTACCGGCGAAGCGTTTGTTAACTACGATTTTTAAAAAAAAGTTGTTTTGTTTATATTTATGTTTATTAATTTATGGTTTAGAGTTACATAGTAAAGCTAATTTATTCCTATGGAGTTGTTGGTGCTCCTTTAATTGGTACGTCGCTATCAGGGCGCTACGACCTTTGCCATATACCGCCGGCCCTACCCTTTGTGGAGGTAACTTTCGAACAATCAAAGGGGGTGATGTCATTGAATCTTAATTAACATAGAAGTAAAATATCATTACATGACGTCACAGTGAAATCATCTTTAATGACTTTAGAATGCAAGTCGACGAAAACTATTAACGTTAAATATTTATTTATCTTTCTAATTATTCAAGCTATTAGTAAACTCCCATTTAACTGTACGAACGCAACATTAAATATAAATATTTACTCAATTAGTTTTCACGTTAAATTCATATCAAGAAAAAATATTCGGTCCCCATTTTAATTTGTCGTAGAGAGCTACGCCGTAGACGTCACGTAGACAGACAAATACGTAGAGGTTTAAGATATCTCAATAACTAGTTAATGAAATATTGTTAAATTAACTTACTGTAAAAGCTTTCGTTAGTTATGCGTTTAATGTGTATTTGTCATAAAGGTAAAGTCAGAGACATTAAGTAACGACTCTGAGTAAGGCAGTTAATTCTAGATTAAGGCTTTACACGTGTTCACAAATCAATTTGCGGCGTAACTTAACTCTAAAGGCTATCGAGCGTACACGCGAATAAGTGATTATCTATACTTAGAAGTGTTAGGCTCCTAACTTTGAAAGTTGCTTATCGAATGCGTATTTTTACATTAACCTTATACATTTAAGTGGGTCACGACCCTTTAAGTTTGTTTATGTTGAACTACGATTAAGATTGCATTTATATTCTTAAACAGGTTTTTGTTACTCAAGTTATAACACTTTCATGTAAGTTTTGGAAGAACAACAATGTATTTTAATTTTGAAAGTATTTTTATTTAGACCTCTGTCATCTCCCCTTAAACTACTCCCATAGGGTCCGCGCGTCGGGTTTTGCTCCTCCAAATAACTCTCTCATCCGCCATCTCAGTCATCACTCCCTTCTTGATCATGTCACCTTTTACAGAATCCATCCATCTCTTTTTAGGTGTACCTCTACCCGTGTACCTCCACACTCATAACTAACATATTTGGGTCTCTGTATCAGTTAAATTATCAAAAAGATATCTATACTATTTTTTTAAATAGGAAAGATTTGTATTACTCTATTTTTACATTTTTGTATGTACTAAAATAACTCAAAAACTACTGGATCGATTTTAAAAATTCTTTCACCGTTAGAAAGGTATTTTATCTGTGAGTAACATAGGCTGTTTTTTATTATTTTTATACTTTCACGCGGGCATAGTCGCGAGCAACAGCTAGTCTGTAATAATTTTTACGAATACGTAATCCAGTCTATGACTAACGGATCGCTCGTGTAAGAATTTCGTAATACGCCCAAAATTATATTTCAAATTTATGCAGACTTTTATGCTTCTGACGCCCTTTCATCTAAGCTCGAAATAACTGACATAAAGGTTTATTATAGTTAAAAAAGCAATAATTCTATCTTGCGGATAGATTTGTGACGAATAACTTATGAATCATGTTGGCAGTTTGTATGTTTTCTTTCTCTACACCTAAGATTAAAACCAATCAAACCGCGCTTTACAAGAAAAATAGTTGCAATCGATGTATAAATAACGAGTAAATTGATAATTGACCTCTATACGAAGTTTGTTAACCGTGTCGGTATCATGTTTGATATTCGTATATTTGTACAATCAGCGTCATGTGTTGATCGAGGGTAAGGGCAACCTTGGTAAGGCGCGAGGTCGCCGGAAGCACGCCCGCACCCCATTACACCCCGATACCCCGATACACCCCTAACAACCCCTTCACAATCTGTACGATAGTATGGTAATTTAATTGTTTCCGCTGAGCTTTGTTAACAATCACACGCGACATTTTCCGTTCAACAACAATATTTATGTATATTTAAGACATAAGGTGTGCAATTTACTATTCAACCATTATTTTGCGAATTTAGGTAAAATAATATTATAAGCGTATATTTTGTATTATTTATACGTAACTGTTCCACTATAGTTGACCATGGCCTATTCACCCCTAGGTTCCCTTATTTAGAGTCAGATGTAGAGCATATTTTGGATAGTTATGCGGATAAATTGAAAAAAAAAAATGGAGCATTCCATTTTTTTTCAACAAAATCTGGCACGAAGCGGCTAATAAACAAAAGTAATTTTGGCTTACAAAGAGACAGTTTTGGTGCAGCGTTAACTGGAAACAAATATTTCGACGGAGAAACTGTGCCATGAGACTGATTTGACTCAATATGAATAAAACTCGAGTACGTTTTTGGCAGAATATCAAATCAAAACGCAGCTGCGACGCTCTCTTAGCGGACTGGATAGCAAGGACGTGTATTTTGGTTACTAATCTTATTTCTGCTTTGTCGTTTTCTTGACTCTGTTCTAAATATATTTGCATCTGTGTTTTGATCGATAATGATAATTACGAGCTGCACTCAATACATTGTTGCGTTTATAACGTAAATGTAAATTGCGTCGTAAAAGTACGAGAGAATTCGAACAAAGTGGGTTCTATAAGTTAGTCGTCTTGTTTTGTTGATGTTCTAACTTCTTGTTTTTGTTTAAAAGTAAAGATTTTAGGTTTGGGCAAACCGCCTAGGATACCTTTTAGATATCTGGAAACCGACAATATAATATTTGAAAATAGAATGACCATAATCAAAAGGTCATCGAACAGTAATAATAAAATCTCCTAGAGTCTAGGGCTTTTCTCTATCAAGAGTCAGATTGTCAGCTTATAGCATATGGTTTAACTGGGGATGGTTTATGGTATAATACTTTAAAAGAGATTAGATTAAATGTAAACAAGGCTACGATATCGCGGCATAAACGTACGATAAAAATGTTATAACACGCGATGATGATACTCGCAATTTGTATTCAAAATAGCGCGTTAAATTAAGGGAGTTATAAAAATTATATAGCAAACTTCGATGTTGGCGTTAAAATAGCTCTCAGTTTAAAATATTCGTGAGGGTAATGATAATTTTATGTATAATATTACTATGCCAAGTTTTCTTATCTAAAGTTTTTCAGCTGGATATAACTTAATGAGTGCGGTAATGACACTTAAAGTTGTTTGTTATGTTAATAGGTTGGAATATAAATTGATCATAAAATATACGTTTCACTTAAATAGTAGTTTTTAAGTGAAAGTTTTATTATCATTGTTGAAAGTAACCAGACAGAATGAGATCTACGTTTTTATGCTAACGTATTTATCAAACATAACGAATTTTTTACGATTTGATACGAATGCACATTTTGTTTTACCATAACACTTTGTTTATAGCGATTTAGTATTCAGTTATTGCAATCTTGACTAAATGAAGAGAAAAGTTAAACATTTGCAACAGCTGCCGACCGTCTAGATCTGTAGACTGATTGAAGCAGTTTACGTATATTGCCCTATAATGAACATTATGTGTAGTATTAAATTGTTTAAACTATCGTGAGACATTACTTCAAGCAAAAATTAATTAAGAACGGCTCAAAACACGCTTTTATTCTCCGGTGACGGCACCGACTAGTTTCGGATGTTATTTCGGATATTTCGGAATTATGTGTAGTATGTTCTCACCGGTCTTGCTGGCGTCCTTGATGAGGTCCGAGATGAGATCGTCGCTGACTTGTATGCCGAGGTTGCGCAGCATGAACTGCAGCTCTGCCGCCGTCACGTGCCCGTCACTGTCGCGGTCCAGTAGACCGAACGCCGTGCGGAGATCTACAATAACAACATTAAAATATAATAGTTAACATAATACAAATAATAGCTCTATAGTTAACTCTACAAGAATAATTATCATCTCCCCATCTTTATCCTATTACCGTAGGTTCAGCACTAGGTATTCATCCTCTAGGTTAATCTATCTCAGTCGTCATACCCTTGATCACGTCATTTTATACACAATTCTCTATCTACACTTATGTCTAATGGTATAGGCTTCCACATTTATAATTAGGATTAACTCTATGCTGTATTATGTCAGATAAATATGAGATTTTTTCTAAGGGTAGTTTCCTCAAGTGAAACATCTGCACATATACTATACACACAAACAAGGAAGCCAAGTAGCCTATAAGAAAAATGCGTAACAGATAAGTATCTCAATCGTCAAAATTGGTAAAGAGATCGAGCTATTATAAACAATAGAAATCACGAAACTTACAGAAGTCATTACCCTTTGGAGCAGCCATAACAAATTGTGCACTTAATTAAATTTACATTTTCAATTAAATCGTACCGTCAGCAAGTCGGGCTGAATTTGCGCGATCAACAATAGTCGGGGTGACATCTCAGCGCCTTATAATGACGACAATATTGACAAAAGATTAACAGAATGTTACGTGCATACCTTCCTTATCGCGGCTCTAAATTTCCAGATATTTATCTGTAAACATGTGTGTTGATGAGCGATTGTTATCAACGTCTATTGTGGCTCTAACTTGTGCGCGACGGAACGCCTTCCATACACGTTCAGTTTTAAAAAACAGTTTAACTTTACAAATAAAACTTTGCGGGTATAAACAAAATTTGTTCTGTCAGTTAAACTGTATAATTAATTGCCTCACTTGCACATACAGGTGTTTTTAAGTTTTTCAAGCTAGCGCTTATTCCTTCACCTGAGAGGGGTCCATGAAAATGACCCCTCTCAGGTGCAAAATTGAATATAATTTAGATTAATAATTTATAGAAAAAAAAAGTATTTAGGACATTTTTGATTATTTATTGAAATAGGTTTAACATTACATGACCGAATTATTTTTTCTAATCTATTATATCTGTATGTAATATATAAATAACAATAATTAGACATGTACCATTAAATTTTTTGTAAACTTTTGTAAACTATGGCATGGAATAAAAGGCTTTTTATTTTATTAAGATAGCGCTTGTCCACGATCTCACCTACTGAATAGTGAAGATGTGGTCAAAAGATGGTACGCGCTACTCTAAAGTAGCCATTCACTTTTTTCTTGAAGGCTAACCTAACCATACGTTTCCACTGTTCAGAAACCAGTCCAGTTAAAACAAAATGTGTGTAGCGGGCTTAAGCTAGGAGACGCGTCCTACATATACTTTGACGTTATCCGCACTTCTGTTTTACAACTTTATAAACAGTACTTATGCATAAGTAATATTCAAGAACTTCTTTGTGTGACCAACGTATAATTAAACTAACAGTTGGTTTTCACTGCCTAAATAGAATTGGTAATATTGAGCTTTCTATTTTGGCAGGGGTATTTTTTTTATTGTTGCAATAACTGCATCTGCAACTGTAGATACTTAGTTAATAATAAAAATTTAAACTAAATCAATTACGCTGTTACATTTTGAATTATGGCTACTTGTGTTCAATTACCACATAACAAGTTTAACTTTGAAAGTAGCCAATAATTGACGCATATGAAGGCATATACGCATATATTATTTATTAAGAATATTAAAAAAAATTAGTACCTAAGTAAAATTTTAAATACAATTTCAGTCCATTGTCTATACAAGTTTAGATAAATTCTAGTCCATCGTCACCTCAAATACAGTAAGGACCGTTAAAAAGATTTAGTTCGATATATCTCGCTGTAAATGCTGCATTCATTTCTAAGAAACAAAAGTAAAAGAGCGCGCAGCGAATGTAGCTTCCAAATAAAACATGAATTAGTGATTTATAGAATTCGTTTTGGACTCGTTGCCAGAGCTTCGGAACGAAATTGTATTTTTTTCTTATAATAAAATGTGTTTTCCAAAAAAGCGCATACAAACTTCAACACTGTTTTTAATTTTCTTAATAAATTTCACATATGATAGTATTTTGTTTCAAAATATTTTTAAAATACAAGTACTAAGTTATTAGTCTTTAAAGAGAGTCGTTTTTTTTTAAATATCAGTAGATTTTTGTTAAATTCATAATATTACTTTTACTAACTAAGCTCTAGGATTGTGCTAGAATATACGACAATAGTCGAAAGAGGCGAAACACTGGACCACGTGAATCGGAACTCCGTACCCCTAACCATTAGGCTATTGGCCCCTTAAGATTGTAGGTTGTATATACTTATGTATTCCTTTATTTGATCCCGAAGGTTCTGATTTTTTTCTGCAGAGAGTAAAATCGGGCTTAAATGAATTACTTGTAACAGTGCAAATCACCGCTTACAATCCTCAAACACATACGTAAATGTGATTCTTAAACTATTTCTTTTTCTCAATAATTTTTACACAAAATACAAGAATACGTAGAGGATAACTGCGTAGCAACATTCTACGGAATCGTAGTAATGTCATAGATCTAATGACAATAATACGAGTATAACATTTCAACAATACGTCTGTTTCACAACATTCTTTGGCTCAGCATTAAACGGTGTTAATGACCTGGTATTATCGGCATTTTAAATTTATTTTTAGAAAGTCTACTTTGTATGCCAGCGTTGACTGATATAAATAAAATATTATAAACATAATTTGACATGTTAAATTATAACATTGAAAGAAATTTAGCATCCACGGTTATATTAGTTTAACAAAAAATTAAGAAGAGAAGTCTAGATATTTTTTAGATATTAGTAAACGATGAAATTAAAAAACAAACCTTTGTTGGTAACAAAATATTAATTAAAATATGACGATAAATTATCTTTGTGAAAACCTTTTAACACGACAAGCTAATAAAACAAGAAAGTGAAGAAAACAAAGACTTATAATTAGGAGTTTATACCTTCCTTTGAGTAAACAAATTTCAGTAATTTTTCTAACCTTATTAAATCCGGCTTGCTCTAAAGAAAAATGTTACAACAAAACGGTTCATATTAATTGTTAAACTATTTTTGATTTTTTTTACTTCTAAAAACGCTTTACCATTATTCATCACCAGCTCACTATACGTCCCCACCGAAGTGCTGGTAGTCTACCCTAAATTAGGGTGACTAGGTCTTAGTCAACTACGCTGTCCCAATGCGGGTTGGTTAATTCCCACTTATCTTTGAATTTCTTCGCAGATACGTGCAGGTTACAAGTAAGTGCTTTAACCACTGGGCTACCGACGCTCTTACCTTTACCATTACCGCTATTATGCTTTACCATTATTATATGATAACAATGCAGTACTTTAGTCCAAATCTATTCAAATGAGGTTTTTAATTGCTTTAGTTTAGTCATAAGTCAATCAACTTATCAATAACCTTTACAAACAAGTAAAAATGTCAACTCACTTTCCTATCTTAGAAACACTATTATTAGCGTGTATTTTTTTTTCTCACCTCGCGCCAAATTGTAATCAATAAGATCTTATCTCATCCTTGAAGAGGTTGTAACTGAGTAATGGCACCAAACAACGATACCGTGATATTTGTTCACAAACATAGCTGATAATTTTACGAGATCTTTTGATGAAACTTAAAAGAAAAAAAAGCAAACAGAAACCGCTGGCTACTTCCGGACGCTGCACAGGTCAGTCTTATAAATAAATACAACAAAATAATTAAATGGAAACAACAGCCAATTTTAAATCTTTTACCTTTTTGGTTTTTTTTACTCTTTATTTATCTTACCAATCCATTCCCACATCAGTCAAGTTCAAGGTAATAGAGAATTTTTTTCGAATTTCTAAACAAGATGTAATCAAATATTCTAACGTCTTGTGATCAAATCACTTTTGGAATATTGCCACAAGCTATTAGCATATTGATGAGCTTTTAATTCTACTTTAAATGTTTTCATAATGACTTTACACAAATTTATTAAACATTTCTCAAGCCATTTCATTATCGATATTTATTCAAATTCCTCTACTAAGATACGCATTTAAAAATGAAATCATGAATGGATCATTAAAATAATAATTAAATAAACAACTAACCTCAAAATCTTACATTTGTTTTGTGTTGAGCAGTGTGTGCAATACGTAATAAATTTTATGTATCCTAATATTATAAAGAGTAAAGATTTTTTTGTATGCATTGAAATAGCAAGTGGTTAGGTTAGGTTAATAATAGCAATTGGTTATGGATTGGCCATACGCTTCGCCGGGATCCCAACCACATTCCCAGGGAGGCCCTGGCGGCGTTCAGTGGCGGCCGACTTGAAGGCAATCGGGCTGTCATGGTCCGAGATACAACGCAGAGCCCAAGACAGAGCGTACTGAGGCCGCCCTCTGCCCCACTTTGGGGACATAGGAATAGAAGAGAGATTGAAATAACTCAAAAACTAAGCAGATTTCAAAAATTCTTTCACCATTATAAAGCTACGTTATCAGTGAGTCATAAGCTGTTTTTTTTTATTTAATTTCACGCGGGCGAAGTCGCGAGCCAGTAATCAATATTACATACAATGATATGGAGATATTAATGACCTATGTATTCCTGCGGCTTACTGCTACATTACTTTTTTTATTTCTAATTAAAATGACTATCCGATACATAAGTCAATTAATGAAAGTCGATATCATAATGGGCGTCCTTGACATAGCACGTAGGGTGTGGTACTAAATTTCTCGTAACAATAACGTTTTGTAAGGACATGAATTAGTCCCAACTACAATAAACAGGAAGGTATGTGAAACGTAAATAACAAAACTAACGAAATAATTTACATAAATTTTATTAATATATCTAGCTGTTGCCCGCGACTTAATCCACGCTATGTTAAGATAGAAAAGTAGCTTATAAATTATTTTTTAAATGCCATTTTCGTTATCAGCAACGAAAATACATCATCTACCCTAGATCTGATTTTTTTTGTGTTACAGACACTCCAATTTTATTATATTTATAGATATAAGAGAATTAAACAAAGATTCTAACCAAATAGCTTCTTTCCATTCGACTTATTTTCAATGCAATCATATTTACAGAATTTGACGAGACAAAAATTCAGACGAAAATGAATGAAGTGTTATATGGCATGTTAAATATAGAATCTTCGTTTTAAAAGCTAGAAACACTTCATAGTAATTTAAAACAGAACTTAAATAACAGGAAACGTATGTCGCAGTAATGGACCATTACAAATACTTCAAAATCAAAATAAAACAACATAAAATTGATACGCGTGTGCAAAATGCTATTACGAAAGTAGGAACTATGTGATTTGGTGCCAAAAGTATTAATTAATTTATCTTATATTTCTCTTCATACAAGTGTAGCTATTAATAAATAGGAAGAATAGTGAAACGTAACACGAATTTTCAATGCATGATTGGACTTTTTCGAACAGGGAAATACCGCAATCACGAAATACCGGCAACAAATATTGGCAAGAATGTTATTCAAAGGTGTTTGTAAATCTTCGAGTTTCAAAGGTTTGAATCTATAGCTGAGGTTAGAAAAGATCAAATTATGTTTTATAGTAAACGTTGCATAATTTTCAGTAACAAAGAAAAGTCAATTTAAATACCTAATTTAATCAGAGTGACTGTACAATTTTACTCTGAATAGAGAAAGAATAGAATGAAATCGACCAATTAAATAGATTGGAAATAATATTAACAAAATAACATATCCCTATTATTTGAAATATTACTATAATAAAGTATTCTATCCGGCATTTAATTTGGAATGTCTAAAGCAAAAATACTGGTCTATCCGACGCAAATGTATAATAATTCTCTAAAAAACACTTACTGTTAAGCATTGCATCACTGGGTACAGGGACTGTCGGCCGCTCGTCCACCGGCGGCTGCTTCTTTTTATTCTTTTTCTCATCTTCTTGCTGCAAACACAAATCATTGTCACAACCAGACATACACAGCACTTTGTAGCACAAAATATCTTATTACAAAACGCACACTCTTTTGTTTAATATAGACTGCCAGTGTTAATAGTCGCTGCTTTTATTATCATTTTATCGATGATATCAATCTTGTCAAGCGGCTTATCAACCTTTTGTCTGATCAATATACCGTACTATTCAATAACAAGGTTTGTTGATAATTTTTTAAATACAAACATATTATAAAACAAAGAATAATTTAGATATTTTTAAGAACTTGATTTAACACATATATCAAGGAATAAAGACTGAAAATTATTACTTTAAAATAGTGATAAATTAGATAAGGATAGGATACGGTTATCTTAAAATAAAAGTCACTGGATACCTGGTCAGTAACTCTCACAGTAAAATAACAAAATTCAACTCAATACATAAACTGCATAAGCTTAATGTTATAACCATAACACGATATTTATAACCGCAGACACAAGCGTGCTAAAATTAACCTCCTTAATTTAGATCACATTAATTAAAACATGTTATAATGTATATAATATGACGACTTTAATAGTTTATTAGTTTTAATTCAAATGGATCGTATACCAGTAATAACGTGGTATTTTGAAATGTACATCGGCTGCCAAGATGTGAACATGTGAAGGACAATGAGTGAGTGCTGTCGTGTAACGCATACTTCCTCCATCCATCGAGAGAAACACTTATGCTAGTTTCACACGAAGGTAGTACAGCGATAGAACAGCAGCTCAAACTTAATCACTGTATTTTACTATTGTACTGACGCAGAGGTTAAACATTTTGACATTGAATTCACGGATGCTGGTTTAATCTCCTCTACGTACTACTGATACTACGTAATGTGTTTTTCGAATTTGATATGCACATTTATCCGACATTCTAGAGGAAAGAAAAAGTGGTGATGCAATCTACACATATCTGCAAGTAGATAAGACGTATATATTTAATGCCTAGCTATTCTGCCTTCGTGTGAAACTAGCATTACTAATCAGATCAATTGAGGATACACCGGATGGTGCTTACAAATAGTCTCAGCAGCGTTTGGCAACAAATCAACACGAATCATCGCCAATACACCTCCGCGCTTTGTGGAAAAAATGACATATCTATCGGTAAATAAACATTCTATGATGGATCGCTACATTCAAAGGAATTGAATAATTACGCTCGTGCTGCCATCTTCAAAGAACGCTTTAAATCATTCAATGTTAAACAGGCAAAGTATATGAGAATTCCTTGAAGACGTTATTCATACTTTTTCTAAAATGTAACAACAAACAATTGGAAAATTTAAATTCACACATGTTTAAATCCCACCCACGAAACTATAAATGAATGGGAAAATCAAAGCTTACGACTTTCAATTAAAATTTAACATCTACTAATTACGGACAACACTCTGAGAGTAGCGAAAACATTTCTGCAACATTTTGCACTTTAAAAATCATTATGAAAGCGCCTCAGTTGTGCGTATAAATCTCATTCTACAATTTAGTTTGAAAACCAAATATGGAAAACGTTATCTCGATTATATCACTTTATTTTTCAAATACTTTTAGTCAAAACTTGATAAGATATCCTAATAGCAAAGAATAATAGAGGTTTTTCAAATTTTGACAAATATTAAACCAAGGCAAGGTATTCTTTTAGTCATGAAGATATCTTGTGGCGGCGTTAATTCACAACATTGGCATCGCCCCAACTGAAGACCACCTGCAGTGTAAGAATTACCTATTCCCACAGGATTTTTTTCCGCCCAATTGACTGGAAAAGTTTCCGTTTATACATTATGCAGCTTTATAAGTCAGCTTTTTCGTGACGGTGGCAAAGATATACGAGTATATAGAAATACGTACTACTGTGATCCCTTACATCAAAAAACAATATGTATCTTGGTATTGAAAAAAGCAAAGGTTCTTCAGCGATTCTTTTTTTTAGAAAATCATTCTGTTTGTCTACATTTAAAAAAAAGTAGAATTCTATACCCCTCGTATTTGACAAGCTTCATCTTGCATTGATAGAGATCAAAAATTGATAAGATTATATCGGCTTTGGTTAGCGGCAAAGAACAGATTGGCATGTATCCAGCATTTAGACACCATTTGAATTTAAAAGAAAACGTGAGTGCACGAATCAAAAGTTGAAACAGATCTCGCCTCATATAACCTAATTGGAAGTGACAGACGTTGCAGTTGATGTTAACCGAATTTATTTCAAGGGTTTTAGTAAGATTGGTTAGTTATTGCCGATTATTTATTTATAGAGATAAAAATGTTTAGAAACTAGGCATTCTCTACGTAAAATTTAAGTAATTGCTGTACAAATTGTTCAGTACAGTCGTAAAAGACACTCACTTGAGTTACACATTTATCGCTTATGGTAAAACTTCAAGCTGTATTTATCACAGTGGAAAAAGTAAATTAAGTAATATACGGTTCGCTTATTATGTGATATTTTAAATTGTATAAAATTGTTTAAAAAAATGTCTAACTTTTATACATTTGCGAAATACGTCTTGTGATTCATTTATTCAAAATAGCTGTTATACTTTGTGGAAAGTTACAAAAGCGCTGATGTTTCTCATTTTCTCTTTGTAAATACTGTCTAGCTCGAACATTATACAGAGCTTATATCGTACCAATTTCATGACATAGCAACAAGCAATAGAATAAACGCTTTTAAAATTGTTTATGTCAGTCAATTTAAAAATAATTAGTATCATGCGAGGTAGCGTTTAAACCAACAAACTCCTGAAATATTCTTAGATAGGTGACTTTTTGGTTAAGGGTCTTTGTAAGTCTAAAGCATAATAAATCTTAGGTGAATTTTTAACATTAGTGAAAATGACATTCTTATTAGAGTCCACCTAAATTATTAAATTTAGAATACGACCATTTTTACTACAACATTCTAATGAATGTTTAGTAAAAATGGTCGTATTCTCACAAAAAAACATAAGTTTGGTTAAATTCCACAACATTAATTTGTATGAGGTTATAACTATTGCTATTTTTAATTTTAAGGTGTCTTAGATTCCTCTAACAGATAATATTTCATACATTTTTTTGACACTGTAAACAGATAAAAATTCAAACTTTATTAATTTTTAACTGATGTCTGAGGTAAAATCATATTTCTTCCACCGGTCGTAAACGTAACAGAAATGCTGCTTATTTTTACGTAAATTTCATGAATTTTATTGCTCATTCATTGCTATAAACGACATTGTTCATTTATTGGCGACTGAAAACTTATAAAACGCTTGTAAAAATCTGTTGAAAAATGCTATTACATTTTCATTTGACTTAAAACGTGTAAAATAAAATTTATGAATACGTTAACCGAATCTGTTTGGTATCAGATTTCACATAAATATACAATTATCTTGTTTAAAATGTATTTGTAGTAAATTAACTATACTAAAATGTATTGTAGAAAGATTAAAATTAAGACTAGTTTAAGCACACTGCAAAATACGCAGATTCACCTCACAGCGGAATAACACATACACACACCACACAAATGGACGACATTCCGTATCAAATAGCGGAATGTCTTCCAAAAAAAAGGATCAGCGATACACTCCAAACGTTTAGATCAAATAAAGATTTTAAAAAATGTGTTGTAGGACTACTGTAGCCGTAGTAAAAATAAACAACACTTGTCGAAACTTATTGGTGGTCTTTTTTCTAATATTTTTTTAAATAGCAATATTAACATAAAATTTTCCATCATTCTTCAAATAAACAACACGCTTGGCTTCATTCTACAGTAACTTACTATTGGAAAGTTCTTTCTTGTCATTTACTATAGTCTGAATTTAACGTGGGAAGCCATACATGAACTTTCGAGGTCGAGTTGAGACAATGCAGGAAGGCCGCAACATGCCGAAAGGTTAAAGGCTACGTATAGATAAACTAGATGTTCCCGTGCGGCTTCGTCCGCATAAAATTATAAAAAGCTTTATTTTATTGTTGCATTTGTCAAATTATCAATTGCAAATGTCAAAATGACATGGCATGATGACAAACTATGGCAATCTTGATTTTCCTTAATGTTGGCAACAACTTATGGTCTCTTTGCCACATTAGAGTTTTTATCCAAAATATTTACCCCTAATTTTAACAGCGTGTAAATATATAGCCTAAAGCGTGACGTAAGTGTAGGGCTTTTTATTAAAAAAAAAGTTATTCAAAAATATGTTGTGATCGCTGACATCTTAGGCAACAAAGAAGTGTGTATTTACGCTTCATTATAATAGTATAGAAGTATAGATAAATGTATGTCTTGATATATTCCTCTTATATTAACTATTGCTCGCGAGATATTCCTCTCTTATATATTTCTCTAATTTTGACAAAAACCTGTTGCGCCGACCTTACGGGAGTAGGATAAGGAGATGATGATGATGATGAATTTTATCTTACAAATAGAAATACTATTTTAATTTAGTGTATTCATGTATGGAAGTCGTCAGTGGAAGCCGAAGTTAGAGAGACAAGTATCCTATATTATTATGTAATAAATCTATAAAATGACATCAAAACTCTCTAAGTACAAATAAGTGCCATTATAAATACTTATGAAACACTTATGCAATCAATTCTCATTGACTGGAGTTTTTATGAAGTCATACCACTTAGTATGAGTAAGTATTTACGCGGAAAGAATCAACTTCAAAGGAGAAAACTTATCTATAGTACTGACTGCATGTCACGTACAGTCGCGGAAATTCGCAGTATTTCATTTAAGAAAAAAATCCCTTGTTTCTCACAAAAAGACAAACGCCTCTTCTTTCGAATAACCAATTAGATAGCAGTGAATGACAAACTACGGGATAATAATAATAAGAAATTAGACGTGTATCACTAATCGACATTTTTTCTTACAGACATATTTAAAAGCTGTATCGTATTAGTTTTTGCTTCGCGGCGTCGTTTCAAAATGTTCAAACGATTATAGCTTTTATGGTGGAACACTACCAATTTCCTTGACTGTACTTTGTCGCAAATTCATCACTACGCCTTTTGCTCTACTATTCACAAAAAAAAATCAATTAACTATGCGATTTTTGTTTGAAACTATATCAACAATAACTTTAAGTCTAAACAATTGCAAATTTACAAAATAATGTTAATTTGAAAATTGTAATTGTTAATTTATTTATGACAGTATACAACACTGCATAACTTAAATTAAGTTATCTACATTCTAGAACTTTAAGTTATACAAACTATGTTACAACACATAAGCGAACCTTTCAGTGACCACAAGAGTGATATGTTTCAAAACATATGCGAATTCTCACATACTTTACACGCTTCTGTGACAATGTGCTTTAAAGCATTCCAAACATTGCCACCGCAAATTCTTCTACGAAAACAAGAGACCTATTAAATAATTTTTAAAATCTTCTTAACATATATTAGACCTAAAGACAATAGAAATATAAAGGCACTATAATATTATACCGGAATACATACTAATGACATAACAATCGTACTCATGTCAGTATAACTTAATGGGTTCAGTAACCCTACATCGCATCTACCCGGCTTAGCAATTAGGAAAATATTTTAACAGCTTACTGGTACATTTACTGTAAAATATCTGCTCATTGCTATCAAATGGTCTTCGTTTCTCAATGTCTATAAAGAATATAATAACCCTAAAACTAAACTTCTACGATTTGAAAGGTTTCTATTGAAATATTTTAAATCTTACCTTCCTTCTAGTTCTTGATGTGGTGGCCATACCCTGAAAACATAAGATCTCGTTAATAATTTAATAAATATATTACGAAGTGTTAGTCTCTGAAGTTGTAATTCGAGTATTTTATTCTAGCTGTCTCACCTGTTCAATCTAGCTATATCTAAAAACCATATTGTCAAAATATATAGGCATTGATTCTAAAATTTACATTAAAAAGTAAAAAAAACGGTTTTGTGTGCTAGAACTCTGCTGTGTAAATTTCATTTTTCTTTTTCTTTTTATAATTGTCACAGATATACATTCATTCTTATAAATGACAGAGTAAGCTTGCGTAATGGCAGGATTTGAAGTATTCAATGACGTGAACTGAAAACTGTGCTTTTAACCATCAGACTATTGACGCTTCAAATTGTTTTCTTTTCGTAAAATTGGTCCTAAGTAACGCAAAGGTTTATGATAAAACGTTCATTGAATATTATTATTTTGCCTAACAGTATGATACGACTATAAACTTATGATTTACGGGTCATTTGCCAGAAAATCAAGGATCTTTATTATGCCAAATATTTGAACTAGCGTTAATAGTCAGAGGACATAATAATATAAATCGATATAAATAACAGTACATAGTGAAGCGAATTATCTTAACTATTAACAAGCGGATCAACACGACAGTATTTAAGGGCGACACTTTACAACTAAATCGTTTGTCTCAATCGCATGTTGGCAATCATTGGACGAATGATTTCGCCACGCAGATTATCGTGTCAACGGTACGTTCTTTAGACTGAGCTAAACATAGAACGTAACACCCCTAAATGAGTGCTGCCAAAGCCCTATTTGTTAATCTACATGTGATTAGAACTAATGAAGGGCCGAATTACACAATTGTTAGTGTTGACTGCATATTTTACTAAATTGCTGCAAATCCTTATGGTATTTTATTGTTCCATGTAATGGACGATTTTCGACACAAGTTTATTGTTGATCCAAGCATTTTTTTGACTTTTTTTCAATCAAAATAAAAATATTGATAATTGTTAATCAACATACGTATTTTATAAGAAATGACTCTAAAATCGAAGATATTATAAGTAATCTGATTAAATCAGCATTTGATGGCGAGGTCTTATAAACATGTGTAGCCGAAAATTTTTCCTAACATTAAAATACTTTGAATGTCATGGCCAAGTTTTTGCACCAGTACGTCGATGACATAAACTACGTGAAAATCTATAACACCTACACACCTTTAGGCGGGAAAACTTATAAAATATACTCGGACATGAGTAGCTGTCATCGAATAATTAAATTGTATAGTAACCTCGCGTTAAAACATACAGTGAGAAGATACTAAAATATCAAGCTCATCAGATGCAAAATTTATACGATATTCAGAAAGCAAAACAAGATGATATTTATTGCAGTTGAAAATCCTTCAAAAGTATTTAGTAGGTCACTAAGAATTGATAGTTTTACTCTTTGTAGGCAACTCCCTAATACTTCGGAGAAATATTTTACACGTTTCCTCTGAGAATCTTTTGGAGAACGGCCAATTAAAAAAAAATACGCGCTGAGAAGTTATGTGTAACAGCGGCGGTCATGCGACAAGACGTGCATTTAACTATCCGTCTAGTCTCACACTCCAACTGTTAAAACGGATGTTCATAAAAAACAGAAATATTTAGTTTTTCTTGTAGTGTTTCCGTGGGAACTCACAGAAATTGTTAAAAAGCTTACCCATAAAATTTACAACATTGAATTTTTTAGTCCCTGATCAACTTTTTAAATATGTATGTAACACACTGTGAATAATAAGCGAAAACGTAACGGAAGATATCCTACGTAACGTAACTTAATAGACTTAAATCCTTAACAGTATCATATAAAACTTCGCTTCGCTATTCATCCATAACGCTTTTGTCACTGTGTTATTGGCATTATCATTCTCATCTAGCTTATTAACCACGTAGACTAAATATGCGCCAAAAAATAGACAATAGACTAAATAAAAGCTTCGCAAATTGATTTCAAATTTGTACAAGGCCAAAATCACACGGTAAATCTCATTCTTCAATTCTTACTTTTCTTGCTAAGAATTAAGTATAAATAATGTAGAGGGACACTTTCAAAGCTAGCAAGGCCACAGTCGCAATTTTATTATTTTCTTCTTATTCCGACTAACAAAAGGGTGATTAATTAAATAAAATCTTAATAAACTGCGCGAATCCTTGTTTATTTTGAAAACCGTGAAGAGAACAAAGAAATAACATTTTGCTGGTTAAATCAGTATTTTTCTGTCGGGCGATCAATTGAATATTTTATCAAATACCAATTATAATTTCCTAGTACAGTTGTACCTAATATATCATAATTTCAAAAATACATCAGGTGACTTGGTTTGCTTTCTTTTATAAAACAAAAACTGTATGGATTGCATTGACGTGGGACTTGAAATTCAATAACCTTACGAACGGAGCTGACCTCTAAGCGTGTCGCATTAACCTGGTCATGATTGTCCGATCAGAATAACAGGAGCAGTGGCCGCGTTGCCTATCTTCTATTTATAACCTCAAAACCGTACCGCATGCTGCGTACTATCCAATTGCTATTTCCCGCTATACCGACTGATCCAAATTTACCCATCTTTCTTCTGAAACTACGGCAACATTTTGATTTATTTTTAATTTAAAGATGATACTAAAGTGAAAATTAATAAAGTAGATATTTCATTTGAAATAACACGACAGGATAAAAATATTAATTCAATGCATTATTTAAAAAGTAATCAAAGATAAAGATAGAAACTGCAGAAGCTATTTAAAACAAACTATAACGCAAATATAGCAGGGACGAAATGTAAATTTGATATATAACTCTGAAAGCGACTTTCCATAAAAAGGACATATTTGCAAAAGTACGTAGATTTGGAAACGTTACCCTTTTGTTGTTTTAAGATTTACATATAATATTGTACAAGTTAAACTAAAAAGTACCATTGATATAGAAAAATAGACGTGATTTATGTACATTGCTGTAATAATATCGCAGTTAAAATAAACTGCAGTCTGCGGTCTGAGTATTAAATTTAAAAGTGACCGTATAAAATCCGTCGTATTCCTTTATCACCGATAACTTTTAATATAAGGGCATTCCTATTCAAAGGAAAATATCTAGCTTAATGTATGGACGCTTTGTCGATGGAATTTTAATCTTCGATGTAAGGCCGCTTTTCCACTAAGCACGACCGTGCTTGAAGAAATTGTGCATATTTTATTCTTAAAAAATAAGAATGTACGTGTCAATGACCTCAAATATAGAAAATCTCTTGAAAAGTAGATTGTAACATAACTATTTTTTAACATGGAGATTATGATTGAAATTAAATATTGTTTAAAAAAATACGAGCCCGTAAAAAGATTCTGGTTAGCTTTTTTCATAATATGGCACGTTCATGTCTTGCACATTGCATATAATTTAAATTCACATGCGGCTAGCCGTTTAATAAAAGAGGGGTTTAAGGAAAGATAAGCGAGAATGTCGGGCTGGATCGATGCGGACCATGATGCGATGGCAGCGGCATCGGGAACCTTGCATCGCCGCCCTTGTCCCTGACAGACAATGTTGAATGAAACGCAGACAAACGACGCGATACTTTGCAACACTTTCGTACTAAAACTTTATTATTTAATCATATGCATTTTGATATTTACAGAACGTACAGACTGCCATATGCTTTTGCTGTACCAATATAATCCATACGTTGTAAGCAAAGAGAAAAACAATACTTAGGACCTATGTTTAGATCTTAAAATTTCGACTCCAATTATAATAAATGTACATACGCTAAAACAAACAATTTTCATTGACAACTTCTCACAAACTAATTATAAAAGGCTACACTCACGTGACCGAAATACCAGATGCCGATCAAATAACCGTGAATACAGCACTTTTTAATTAGTTTATATCACACGTAAGTTTTAATAGTTTAATAGCTGAATTTACGAAATACAAACAAAAACTTAACTACAATTTTTAAATTACCGATTACTTACAAGGACAATTAGAATCACAGAACACAACACGAGACAATGTGCACGTAGATGCACCGCGCGACGTAGAACGTTGCCAGACGAGAACAGACGCGTACTTCAGTGCTATCAGCTGTTGCCAATGCACGATACCACTAATCATCAAGTGTATGAGCCACTAACTAATGTTCTCACTCACACAAACGTGTAGAAACAATTTACAATAAACTGTCGTTTTCGAGCCTCTAAGTCATAAAACTTCATTTTATTACTATGGATAAAAAACAAAAGAAGATAAAGAATATCTCAAATTGAATTTTGTCGTCCCTGTAACTTTAACTGATAAAACTCTAACTGCATTTATCAGATCAAAGCAAAAGTCTTTCTTCTTAAAGTCTTTACTTTCAATAAGGAGAAATTATTTCCTGATTACTTCATCACTCTATAAAACCATTTTAGTTTACAAACACATAAAGTGTTGAGCTCACTTCACAGAATTTTAAATAAAAACAAACATTCTCTAGCCCGCGCACTTTCAAAGTTCAATCTACATTTTTCCGTAACGACGAGGCGATGTAAAGAATAATTGATAGAATAATCTTTGAAGAAAACTATAGAGTTTTTGTTATTGCACTTTTTAGTTAAAAGATTATACAA